TCCACACTGTGTTACCTCTACTATTGTAGCTTGGCCCTTCCCATCATTCTAGCCTGACTGCTCAAAGGTTTGTACCTTTAAATCGGTTCTCCCTTCAGCCTCCTCTGCTCCAAGGACAATAGTCCCGGCCTGTGCAATCTTCCTTTATAACTGCATTTTTCTGGTTCTGATAACACCTGGGTAAATCTCCTCTGTGTAACCCTCTCTAGTGCCATTACATCCTTTGTGTAATGAGGTGACCAGAACTGCACACAGTACTTAGGTTGTGGCTCAGCAAATAATTAGTACAGTTGCACCATTACACCTGATCTTATAGCAGATACCTTGACTAATGAAGGATTTAGAAGGAGCTGATGTATGTGGGTTGCTTTCATGACCAGAGTTACCTGCTTGTGAGCAGTGAATGTGATCATTTATTTGGCAACGGGTTTTGTATTCTGAAATGCAAGTTGGATTGGTCTCATTCTTCTCATACCCTTGCCTCATCCTTCCACCCACCCCCACCATAAGCATATTTAAAAACCTTGGGTGGTGGCAGTGTTGGGAGAGAATATACACATCATTCTGTTTATTTTCTCCCCTCTGTATTCAAGTTGTTTTTGTAATATCTGCCATCAGCTACATCTATACTATTGCATAGTTGTCAGCTACACTTCTCAATGTTTGGAAACTTGCGTCCTGACCATGACCCTATAGGTACGTGCCTGTCTTGCCCAAAACTGCATCTCCTCAGGTAAATTGCATTCTTGTGACTAAAAAACACATAAAAGCTGAAGATAACATAATGTGGAGCTGGAGGGACACAGCAGGCCAGGCAGCATCAGAGGAGCAGGAAAGTTGACGTTTCGGGTTGGGACCCTTTTCTGAAGAACTTTCTTGCTCCTCTGATGCTGCCTGGCCTGCTGTGTGCTCCTCCAGCTCCACACTGTGTTATCTCTGACTCCAGCATCGGCAGTTCTTACTATCTCCACATAAAAGCTGAAATTTGTTTTTGTCCTGGGCTATGTTCATCAATTCAATCCATGAGAAACAAGTGCCCTTTTATCTGCTTGGAATATCAGGAACTGGAACAGCTTTGTTGCAGCTGTTGTCTTCTGCCTGAACTGCAATGTGGAAGAAAATCAATGTAAGTGACAGTGAAACAGATGTTTGAAATATTTACAGAGCCAAGTGCCAGTGCAACAATGGCTCGTTCGTCTATTGCACCTTTAAATGTAGTAACATGTTGCAAGTCACTTTATAGGAGCCTTTGGATGACATGCAGACATTAGGACAAATGGTCAAAAACTTGGTTGAAGAGATAAGTTGCAAGGCTGCCTCAAAGGAAATGTTTGGGGAGGAATTCAAGCTGCTGTTCGGGCAGCGGTAAGCACAGCTGCCAATGATATAGCAATTCAAATCAGTGATGCACAAGAGGCCAGAATTGGAGTGGTGCAGAAATGGCATAAGCCTGCCAAGCAGACCAAGGTTATAGAGGGCAAGGCCTTGTAGGGATTTGAAAAGAAGGGCAAGAATTGTGAAACTAAACTGTTTCTGGAATGGGAGCTGCTGTCTATATCCTAACTCTATTTTGGACAACGTACTATTTATGAAAGGTGGAAAATGGGAGGGAAGCCAAATCAATGCTATGCTTCTTTGCTTGTTTTGTTCCAACTGATTTGGAAATGTTATTTTGTTGAGTGGAACACTGGCAATAACAGTGGATTATTGAGGTTGGTTGGCTCGCCAAGCTGGTTTGTTGTTCCGCAGACATTTCGTTACTGTGCTTGGTAACATCCTCAGTGCAGCCTCTGATGAAGCATCGGTGTGTTTTCCCGCCTGGTTTTTAAACTCTAGGGTCCGTTGCGATGGATTGCCTCACTTCCGGGTTTCCTCCATAGTGGAATGTACTTCTACAACCGCTGGGCATCAGAGCGGCACACAAACCCACACTAACCCTACGACAAGTGCTCACCCGAACTAAAGACCCACTCCCCGCCATGGACAGGACCAATGTCATCTACAAGATGCCCTGCAGAGACTGCGAGAAACACTACATCGGACAAACAGGAAGGAAACTAACAACAAGGGTACATGAACACCAACTGGCTACAAAAAGACACGACCAATACTCATTCGTCTCAATCCACATGGACAAGGAGAACCACCACTTCGACTGGGACAATACCAAGATCCTGGGACAGGCTAGGCAGAGACAAGCACGAGAATTCCTAGAAGCATGGCACTCCACGAAGCATGCTATTAATAAACGCATTGAACTTGACCCCATACACATTCCACTACAGAGGAAACCCACAAGTGAGGCAATCCATCGCAACGGACCCCAAGGTTTAAAAACCAGGCGGAAAAACACACTGACGCTTCATCAGAGGCTGCACTGAGGATGTTACCCAGCATGGTAATGAAACGTCTGCGGAACATCAAACCAGCTCGGCAAGCCAACCAACCTCAACATCCACAACCCGAGCTACAGATCTACTCCAAAACGTTAGAAACAGTGGATCAGTTGTCATTGATATCCATTCACAAAACAGCTTATACTTATATAGCACCCTTTTACTTAAACAATATATTTACAGGCTTGATTTGCTTAAATTATGTCTAATTGCAAGATTTTTAATTTTAGGGTAAAGGGGAGCGATCACAGTAAATTTAAATCTTCAACAATGTTCTGTGCTTACAATTTAACTACTACTTTGATATTTTTTCTGATTGTAATTGGTAGGAATTTATGTTAAACTTGGCCAAGAGGTAGAAGAAGGGGTCAAAAGCAAAAATTGCGGGTGAAAATCAGCAGGTCTGGCAGCATCCGTGGGACAAAAACAGAATTAATATTTTTGGTCTGGTGAATCTTCATCAAAATATCATGAAGAGTCATGGGACTCAAAACGTTAACTCTTGTTTTCTTCCCACAGATGCTGCCAGACCTGCTGAGTTTCACCAGCAATATGTGTCCGTTACAGATCTCCAGCACCTGCAGTTGTTTTATTGTAGAAGGTTGGGTCTTTTCTGTAGGATAATGAGGAACTGATAAGGAGATGGTAGTAAAACAAAGAACTATGGATGCTGAAGATCTGAAACTAAAACAGAAACTGTTGGAGAAACTAGCAGGTCTAGCAACATCTGTACAGAGAAAGCAGAGTGAAAGTTCGAGTCCAATGATCCTTCTTCAGAACTGAACTCGAGTTCTGAAATAGTCTGTGCAGGACATTCGTTAGGCCACTTTTGGAATACTGGTCAATTCGGTCTCCGTGCTATAGAAAAGCTTGAAAGTGTTCAGAAAAGATTTACAAGGATGTAGCTGGGATTGGAGGATTTGAGCTATAGGGAGAGGCTGAATAGGCTTGGGGTTTTTTTCCCTGAAGTGTCAGAGGCTGAGGGATGACCTCATAGAAGTTTATAAGCTCATGAGAGACACTGATATGGTGAATAGCCAAGGTCTTTTTCCCAGGGTACGGGAGCCCGAAACAAAACGGAATAGGTTTAAGGTGAGAGAGGGGAATGATTTAAAACGGACCTAAAGGGCAACTTTTTCACATCCAGTGGTGCGTGTATGGAATGAGCTGCCAGAGGAAGTGGTGGAGGCTGATACAGTTACAACATTTAAAAGGCTTCTGGATGGGTGTATGAATAAGAAGGGCTTAGAGGGATATAGGCCAAATTCTGGCAAATGCAACTGGATCAGTTTAGGATATCTGATTGGTACAGACAAGTTGGACCGAAAGGTCTGTTTCCATGCTGTATGATTGTATGACTCAATGGCTCTAATGAGACATGTACTCACACAGAACTGTATTATGTACAGTAGCGTAAATAAGAGCTTGCAAAAAACCACATACAGTCTGACAGTAGTCACTCATAGGTAATGCAAAATCATTTCAGGCCACAAACCACCAGCAGATATGCAAACTCACTAATCTGCAGAATAAAACCCCTGGTGGCTCAAAACACAAATCGTTTGAGAGGAGAATTAATGTAACAGATTGCAATTTGCTAATCATAACTTTGTGGTATTCATTGAAACAAGATTCCTTTTGAGCACTTTGGAGTGGTCAGCATTTAAAATCGTAGAACATAAAATAAATGAAATATCTAGGAAAGAGTGCAATCTGCAGTAAGAGGTTTGGAATGGGTTACAATCCATTGTGTTTGGTTTTCAATGGAGGCTGAAAGACAACTGACTAACACAATGCAGGGAGACAAAGAGAGTGACAAATTGGCTGCAATCTACAGAAACAGCCTCCTGAGCCAGAGTGCTGGAAGCAAAGACAGACAGATTGCACAGGTGCAGAAAGAAGGATAAGACCACTCGGACTACTGGTTGGAGGTGTCAAATTACAGAGCAAGAGATCAGGAACACCAGCCATAAGCATTACAGTATTATGTTTTCTCATGGGTGTCTGTCTGCTTGCAGTTCCAAAGCCATCATTTTGATGGTGTTTGCCGCACTGTTCCGTTGTTCATAATGCCCTTATTTCAGAAGGTTAAAATGACTTAGAAACATTTAATCTCTTATGCTTCCTTGGAGCCTGCGAAAGATTGTGGAAGTTGCAGTAAGTTCTGAAAATACTGTATCCACAATCCCTCATAGCCCCATTTGGTAAATTTTGTTATTTTAAGACTCAGCAGGTACTTGCTGTCTACAGTCTTTGAGCAAAGTTTGGCCCTCAATCATGTATTTAATAATCACTTCACTCGGGTTACTTCACTTGCCACTCGTAGCCTGCATTGTGCAAAGGCTTTGTAATGGGAAGCAATTTTCAGCAATTACTCACACAGGAAGTGAGATGGTCCATAACTTTATATCAGCTTTTTCATTAGGTCGTGGTGTGAAATGAACTTTACCAATTATATGATAGGAAAGGTAGTGGGTCCATTTTTAAACAATGAACTGAAGCATTTTTTTAAAATATGAAACTTTTATAATGGAGAAATGGAATTTTTTTTTCTTAAATCAAAATCCAAAATATTTTGGAGTTTGTAAGGGAGGCAGGGACATATTTAAGAACGTTAACTCTGCTTTCTCTGCTGAGTTTCTGCAGCAAACTCTACTTCTGTTTGTTTTAGATCTCCAGTATTTGCAGTTCTTTGTTTTATATTTAAGATCTTTTTATTCTGAAGTTATTTGTAACACATGTTTTACATTTGCTTGATACAATATATGCAGTTGTATTATTTTCTAGGGTTAAAATACAAGCTGGGGGTATTGAATGATCTCAGCTCTCAATAAAGTAATTTTAAACGGTCATCCATTACCGCTAAATATCTAATGTCTCCCTCAGTGTAGCCTTTGTACGAAACCACCACAGTGTTATTGGCACCAAAGCAATTGTCAGAACTTGCAAGCTAATGTTTTCCATTTCAATTCTGTGGCTGAACAGGCTAAGCTAAGAGGAATGCCTGTTGGCAGCTTGATTAGCCATCAGACTGCTTTAGAGGTGGAAATGTTTCTTTCTTAAAATTAACTTCTGTTTTAGTTGTAGAGAGATGTTTGCCTTTGTTGATGTGATGCATTGTCACATTGACCATGCTTTTACTTATTTTAAAGGATTGGAAATAAATCGAATGTGGTGATATGTGTTCCATTGGAATCTGTTGAACTTATGTCACTGCTGTTGAGGGGCAAATCCTCTTGAGGTTTTTGTTTGCTAGAGGGAATATTAGGAACAAAGGCAGAAGTAGAGCTGCAGCAAAAGCAGACCTTTACCAAATTCTAAATGATATTAAAAATGACAGGAGCAAATTTCTTGTATATGATGTTTCCTTTTCTTGTTTTTCTCTTCTTCTCCCCAAACCCCCACCATTTGTTGTAAAAAGGCCAAAGCATATGCAGCCTGAACCCTTGCGATAACACCACCTCACAATGTAATGCAAACAATGGGATTGCTATCTGCAAATGTCTGCCGGGCTACTTCAAGTTTGTTGCTTCTGATCGAAGCTGCAAAGGTAGGTAACAACTGTCCAGAGAATGTGCTTTTCAATACATTTACAACAACTTGCATTTGTATAATGCAGTTAACATTGTAAAATATCCCAGACACAAGAGCAATGGCAAACATAATTTGAGACTGCAGCGCATGAGCACATACTGGAATGAAATGCCAAATGCATGATTGAAGAGGTTGGCTCGCTTTACAAAGCAGAAAAGGGCCAAGATGTTTAGGGAAGATCTGGCATTTGGGGTATAGGCAGCTGAGAGCACAGTTGATAAACATGGGGTGGTTTGAAATCACTGATATGTACAAAGGCAGAATTGGATGGGTACAAAGATTTCCATCAGTTCCATTACTGAAGGAGGATACAGAAAGGGTTGAGGCTGTGCCATCATGACAAATGATGAGTGCAGCCAAAATTTAAAACTGTACCGGTCAGTTTCCTAATTGTTTGTAACACTTTCTGTATAATGAATTCTGTCGCATTTTGAGGCCAAATCTGTCATTTCAGACTTGATTGTTCTGTTTGTGAGGCCAAGTGACCTGTTTTTAAAGTTGCTGGTGAAAATGCGATCAAAAATTCCAAGTTCAATCATTCAGTGGCGAGGAAGGCTTTACACATTCGCTCACTTGGTCTTGCAAAATAATCCACCCCAATTGGGCTCTCGAAATGGATTAAGATCTGAAAGGCAAAGTAACTCATCTCTGTCCATGTGAAAAATTCCCTAATTTCCATGTTGTGTGAATCCAGTGATTTGATTGTCATTCATCATGAACTTCTAAGAGTGGAATTATATTCTGCTGCAGGATTTGTTGCTTCAAACCAACCAGTTTTGTTGCTCTTCACTTTCGCACATCTGTGGCAATCTGTTGGTTAATGTTATACCTGCCAATGTCATTCTGAAACCAGCCCTAATCTCTGTATCACATGAGGCATCTGCATACTCTTCCACTAAAACTGCCATTGAACTCTTCATTTCCAAAAAAAACTTTAGATATATGTACATTAGGATAGGACATAATACATGGTAGCACAAGCTGAATTTGTCCTTCACACAAGCAAAGAGTCCAAATTTCACCAACCTACTGATTAATCTACATCCCAGAGTACTTGAAATGGCCCAAGAAATACTGGATGCTTTAGTCACAATCTTTCATGATTCTATGGACTCTGGAACAGTTCCGACAGATTGGAAGGTAGCTAATGTAAACCCACTATTATAAAAACAAGGAGGTAGAGATAAATAGGGAATTATAGACCAGTTGTTCTGACATCAGTAGTGGGAAAATGCAATAAGATACATTATCAAGGAATTAAGAGCACAGTAGTTAAAAAGCAGTGATAGGATTGGACAGAGTCAGCATGGATTTACAAAAAGGAAACCATGCTTGACAAATCAATGTAGCTGTTAGTGTTGATAAAGGGCAACCAGCGGATGTGGTTTAATTGGACTTTCAAAAGAGTTTTGATAAAGTCTCACATAAGAGATTAGCATATAAAACTAAAGCGTGTGGCAGTAGGGATGGTGTACTGACATAGAGAACTGGTTGACAGACAGGAAACTAAGGGTAGGAACAAACAGGTCATAGACTCCCTGCAATGTGAAAGCAGGCCATTCAGCCCATTGAGTCCACACCAAAGTTCTGAAGTGCATCCCACCCAGACCCACATGCCCTACCATATCCCTATAACCTTACATTTCCCATGGCTAATCCACCTAGCTTGCACATCCCTGGACACAATGGGAAATTTAGCATGGCCAATCCACCTAACCTGCACATCTTTGGACTGTGGAAGAAAACTAGAGCACCTGGAGCAAACCCACGCAGACACGGGGAGGATGTGCAAACTCCACACAGATAGTTGCCCGAATTGGAATCAAACCTGAGTCCCTGGCGCTGTGAACAGTAGCGCTAACCACTGAGCTAAGTGGTAGGCAGTGACTAGTAGGGTACTGCATGGGTCAATGCTTGGATCTCAGCTATTCATAATATAGATGAATGATTTAGATGAGGGAATTAAATCTAATATCACCAAGTTTGCAGACACTACAAATCTGGGTGGGAATGTGAGCTATGAGGAAAACGCACAGATGCTTCACTGTGATTTGGACAAGTTGAGTAAATGGGCAAGTACATGGCAGATTAAGTATAATGTGGATAAATATGGTGTTATCCACTTTGGTAGCAAAAGCAACGAGGCGGATTATTATCTGAATGACGATGGATTGGGATAAAGAGGGAGGTGGGGTGCAATACAGCAGACACTGAAAGTAAGCAGGTGCAGCAGGTGGTGGAGAAGGGAAAAGGTATGTTGGGCTTTATTGAAAGAGGATTTGAGTACAGGAGCAGTGATGCCTTGCTACAATTTTTCAGAGCCTTGGTGAGACCACACCTAGAATATTGTGTGCAGTTTTGATCTGGGGAAGAATCTTCTGGCTATGGAAGGAGTGCAACAAAAATCTTCCAGGAATCAGTCTTGTATGGTAGGACTGACTTATGAAGAGACAGATTGGATCAGTTATGACTGTATTCTCTGGGGTTTAGAAGAATGAGGGGGGTATCTCGTAGAAAATTCTAACAGGACTAAGGATAAATGCAGGAAGGATATGCCTGATGACTGGGGAAGTCTAGAACCAGGTTTTAAAAGGTATATATGGTTTGCACTGTTTTTTGTTCATAAACATAATACTGCTGGTGTAAACATGGCACCAATTGATTTATTTACAACAATCGATTTATTTACTTTTCTTTTCAAAACAGCATGTCTAAGTGGATTTAAGCTTGAAAATGGAACATGTGTGAAGTAAGTGCTCCAGCAGACACCTCTGTTTGTGTCTGTTACATTATTTCCCTTTCGATCTCTGTTCTGATTTCAAGAAATATTATACCCTTGCCTCAGTCATACTCTTCGTTAAGTACACCTTTGATGCTCCTAAATCACACAGCAGTCATGACGATGAGGTAATCCAATTGATGCTAGTTCAGGACAGTTTTGTGGACTTGAAATATCTGTGATGGAATGACATTTTTACTTTGTTTTTAACTGTCAGTTTTGTTAAGAACCGTCTTTGGCTACTTGATAGCTTTTCCATTTTTGAGTCAGGAACCAGTCTCTGTCCGTGCACCGCATTCTTTTAAAGTGTATACCCAAAGAGCAAGTGATGACATCAACTTCCCACATTTACATAAGTAAATGAAAGCCCCTTTACTGATGCTGATATGAATGATTTAGATGAGGGAATTAAATCTAGTATCTTCAAGTTTGCAGATAACACACAGCTGGGTGGGAATGTGAGCTGTCAGGAGAATGCAGAGATGCTTCACTGTGAGTTGGACAAGTTGAGTCAGCGGGCAAGTGCATGGCAGATCAAGTATAATGTGGATAAATGTGATGATATCCACTTTGGTAGCAAAAACAAGAAGGCAGGTGTTGGGGTCAGTGGGAGTGCAATGAGACCACCATTTGAATTTCTTACACTATGCATTGTTGTCGATAATTTGAATCCTTACAATTGCCAGGTTTTCAATCCCGGAAGGTAATGTAGCTCTTAGCCATGCTTTGGTGTTGTGTAAACTTGCTTCTGTGTACCAACAGGAAGCTGTAGTCTTCAGTAAAGGACTGATACTGTCAAACTTAAAGACAGCTCATGCATTGCTCTTTTGCGTCTTTTACATGGGTAAAGATCCAGAGCTGTGTATTTGAAAAGGATCAAAGTAATCAGTTTGCTTGGAATCCGACTCCAGGTGCAGCATAGCCCAGCTGTGAATCTAGACTCTGAAAAACATACACGGGAGACGCAAACTAATAGCTATTTCAGCTATGCAATTGGTTTTTATACAGACTTGTATTGTCCAAATATAATTATTTTCTAATGACCTTTACAAATCTGAAATGGGAAATTTGGGTCCATCAACATTGGAAATCCAGAAAGACCATATTTTGAATTTATTATGCTATGCATTGGTGTCGATAGTTCGAATCCTTACCATTGTAATTTAAATGCTGCTGCATAGTTGGTGTTACATAACACATGTACTTCTTATCAAAGATCCCTGGCTTTTAAATTTAAAGTTGAGTTGTAACTAACTACAAGAATTCAGTGTACCAACTCCACAGTAGGTTCCCAGTAGAAATAATCAGGACAGTAACATCAACATGTTTTTTGCTTGTCTGTGTGAAATGAGCCTGTCAAGTTTTCATTGGAACGGATGGGAGTGATTTTCAGTTTTGATCTATAGTATATTTCTGAGAGAACAAAATCTTTGTTATTTCTAGGTGTCCATTTGGTTATGGAGGATTTAACTGTGATAAACGTAAGTGCCCATCATTTATATTTTTGCCAACTATTGTATTTATAAATTACTGTGAGATTCAGACATTCTTGTAGTCAGGTAATGAAAGTGATTGGTTGAAGATAAATGTTTGGCGAAATGATCCAAGAACGTATTAATGAGGTGAGATTTGTTGCTTGTGGGTTTCACACTTTGGGCAGGTCTCTCATTGCTAGCCTCTACTGTACTGTGTGAAATCTGACTGTTGCCTTTGGTGCACAACGACCTGAAAGTGGACTGGCACGGTGACAGAAAGCACACTCTGTGGTTTCAGTAATCGTCTCTTTCTGGTTTCATGTAACACTGTAGCTATTTTAAGTAAAACCAACAGGTGCCAGTGCTTTTTTTCACTACTGAAGGATGATGTGGTTAAGTCTGAGAACTGTTTGAGCCCTCATGTCAAACAATTTTTTGAGTTTAGCTCTTTGACCACAGGCTGTCCCTACAGTCAGATTGAGTGAAATAAACACACAGCTTGACAGAAAGCAGTTGTTAATGCTGACATTCCTATGACCAACCTTTTGCAAACATAATTATCACAGGCATACCATGCTTATAATCCTGGAATTTAGCCCACCAATGATGTCGTAGATATGCTTCAAGCCAGCAGCCTTCCTAAACTCTGGTTGGCATTTCCCATTCCCTTGGTCCCACCAAGAGGACTACATTCCACCTACCTCTCCGCCTCCTCTTTACCTTTGTCCTGCTACCATGAGCATTCCAAAAGGTTAGTGTTGCCTGTCTCCTGCAAAGGGCAGCAGTGTTGCTGAAGACTAACCACTGAATATGCCCTACTTTTAGCAGGGATTATCTGAGCATTTAGATTTTTCCAGGTACCTTTCTTACTGTTGGTTAGCAGGGCAGCAGTGTTTTTGGTAATGCTACATCCTGTTTTGTCCACTGTTAAAGTTGTTATATTGACCTAAACACCATTAGTCAATGTGTGGGTCAAAGCCAAACAAGTTGAAACCAGTTGCTGGGCTGTGCTGTAATGAAAGGAAAGTTGCCAGTTTGTGAGTCGTAATGCCCCTTTTGCTTTATGACCATATCCTGAGAAGCCAAATCAAGTTTCAGTCCAGCAGAAACACTGGCCCGGATTTTGAAGGAAAACCTGTAGATATTTCTTGGAGATCTTGACTTGGGCCTGCCTCATGGACCAGTCATCCAAATGCTGGAGGTCAGAGGCTGGAAATTCAGGGCCAACTAACTAGCCTGCTGACTCCTCCAATCCTGTCCACCATCTACATGGCACAAGTCAGGATGTGCGACACTCTACTTGTCTGGATGGGCACAGTTCCAACAATACTCGGGAAACTCAACACTGTCCAGTAAAAAAAAACTTGCTCGATTGGCATCCCACTTAATATCTTCACCCCCTCCGTCACTCAGACAAGTGATAGTGGCATGCACCAGCTACAAGATCTCTGATGCAACTCACCAAAGCTGCAGAGACAGCACCATCCAAACCGACAACCGCTGCCACCTAGAGGACAACAGGTGCATGGGGAACATCACTGCCTAACACATTTTGATCCAATTCATACACTGTCTTGACTTGGTGCTAAATTGCTGTCCTCTCACTAGCGCTGGATTTCCCTCACTAACAGCATTGTGAGTGTCCGTGCACTCTATGGACTGTCATGGTTCACCAACACCTGCTTGAGGACAATTGTGAATGGGTAATATATTCAGACCTAAGCAGTGACCCCCCATTCCATTAAATACAAAATATGAGTGGGCTCCATCGCCTTGATTCCTGCCGTGACAAATTTTCTTAGCAAGGATTATTTTAGAATGGTCTGTTGATAACAACTTATCAGATTTATGGCGCAATTGAAGTTCCTTTCAGAGTTTATCCTATTGTGTTTGAGTAGCATCATGGTATCGAAAATAAACTCATGCGGCAGGAATCCAAGGAGTAGATATTTTGCTAATAAACTGTAGAATATTTGATATCATGTTAACCACCTGGACTGTGTAGTTGGTGGCAAATGGGTACCCATTGTAGAGGAGACCACATTGTGAGCAGTGTGCACCTATAGGATGTGTTTGCAAAGTCACTCAATGAAGCTTCTGCATAACTTAGACAGCAAATTCCTGATTCTGATATTTAGCTGGCCATGTGCAGAAGTGAAATTATGCTTTAATTTAATTAGTACTGTAAATTGCCACAACTTTTTTTAAAAAATTCTCTCTTTATTTTGGATTGTGGACCAAAATGGAGAAAGGATTCTGCTTTACACTGAGAAGGAATTGCTGCATTCTTAAAAACAAGTTCCTGGAACTCATTGAGAGTTTTATTCACATAGTTACAGGGGGTGTATGCAGAGCAAGCTTCACAGAGAGATAAGACTGCTGATTAGTTTGTGCAATCAGGACCAGTTTTGGAGGTCAAGAGTTATCAGCGTGATAACAAATTTCAGATTTTGTTCGCCTCCAGACTATAACAGGGACAGAAATTGTCATGTGCCCTCTCTCTCTCTCTCTCTCTCTCTCTCTCTGTCATGCACACTGTCTCTCTCTATCGTGCTCTCACGCTCTGTAGCGTTCGCTCTCCCGGTCAGTCGCACACTCGCCCTCTGTTGTGTCTACTGCAGCTATTGAAACATGTCCAGGGACTCTGTCTTAATGTCCAAGGACTATTCTGATTATCTAGAAGAAAATGGATGTTAGTTACTTTTGGGTTTTCACTATGGAAATTGGTTATTGGTAGAGTCCGAATAAAATCACCTCTGGAACATGAGCCCTGAGGATTAAGAGACTGCAGTCTAAAAACTTATGGATCAATATTGAGGAGGTATAGCAGATGCTGCCTAATCTGCCCAGTCTATAGTAGTGATAAAGTGGAGATATATATACAAAAATGGGAATGTATGCATGACCTGCATTGATGTGCTTCGCCTCCGTAACCTTCAATAACAGTGTGGCTGAGAGCTTGAACGAATTTGTTCAGGGAGAGGGAAGACAGAAAAATTTTCCAACAAACACTTCATTACAAATAATCATCCTGTAAATTATAAGTCTATATCTACATGATTTGAAAATGGAATAATTTACATTTTTCTGTGAATTTACGTGTTTAGTTTAATATTTTTCTGATCACTTTAAAATCTGATTCTTTCTGGGTATGCTTGATAATAGGCATGTATCCCGTTTTCTATGTGTCAAGACGGTAAGATTTTGCATTGAATATTAATGCATGTTTTCTGTTTCTCCAGCATATTTACTGGCACTTGTGGTGATCTCCTGTGTGTTGGGTGGTATCCTCCTCCTCTTGTTGTTGGCCCTAATTGCAACCTGTCTCAGGTAAGGATGTGACATGAAAAGCAGTTATTTCTATCCTGCGCTGTTTAATGAAGGGTTGGGTTCTGGGAAAATAATGGTCTTTATTCCCAATGGTGAAAAAAGCACAACTGACCAGTCTTCCAAATTGGTAACTTCATGACACTGATGGAAATGTTTCTTTAGAATGTTGTTGTATTAATGGTCTGTCAACTGTGTTGTTACATTCTGAAGAATAAACTTTCACAGCTAGTTTTGAATGAATATCAAGCTGACGATCTGTTAAACATCCTCCCTCTCAGCTGTGAAATCCACCCCCCAAAGCCTTTTGGATACTATTATGATAACTGGCCAAAACCCTAAAGTACTATAGATATTTTTAACATGTACTTCCAAAATGTAAAAGATACAGTCAAAAATGGCTGTAGATATAAATTAAGTGACTGTCTGCATGTATAAAGAGAGAGAGATACAAGGAATGTCACACCTAAAGAGGTAAGAAGAACTTCAAACAACAGCCTTTCAAAGGGGAAGGGCCAAGTCAGAACTGACTGGACTGTGATCTTCCGTGACTACAAAAATAACAAGAGGCTGAGAAGCCCCTGCACAACAGCAAGCCACCTCCTCTGGAGCATGTCCCAAGCTGCAGACATGATTTTTAATTTTCTTTTTGAAGAATACACAAAGTCAGCAGTTAAAATGTCAGTGTTCTACTGAGACTGAATGTTCTCACATGTGCCAGTGGGCGAAGGTACCCTTTATGCACCGGCCTGGGTCCTACTGTCAATGTGCTGTGAAGATCACTGTCGAAGAACTATCCCCTAGTCACCCCTTTGTTGCAGGTGAAGGGACTCTCTACTCTGAGTGCCAGAAGCCAACGAGCTAGCAAGCCAGATGAAAGGAAACAGGACAACAGAAGAACTCTCCCCAATGCTGAATGCTGGATTTCAGTCTCAGTCAAAAGGAATGAGAACAACAGAATCTCAACCAGTCTGCAAAACTGAAAATCTTCAAATTACTTGTTCAACTACCAATGTCAATGCTACCAATAACTTTCATCCAAAGGCAATCCACAAAGGAAGGGATCCATTTTCAAATTAACCTATTGCATCCATCAAGTTGCTGGGTGAGGGTGGTTTATGGAAGAATAAACCTTCTTTTTGCGAGTTTGATGGTTTAGTGTATCCTGTCTAGGACCATAACAAATGAAAGTACCTTCCCTGGAAACTGCACATAACAGTACCTACCCTCCTTTAATAGTACACAGCAGTTACAGTGCTATTTTCTGTGACTGAGTTGCCTATCATACAGTTGTACATAATTTTATGTTTAATAGCCTATATTTTAGCCAAAATGCCTTGGTAGGAATAAATGTTGGAGAAGCAGTGCAGTGCCTCCGTGGCTGTTTTTCCATGGTTCCTTCAGCAGCATCAGTATGTTGATAAATGTTAGCCAACAATTAATTTCCCTGACTTCCAGGTGAGAAAATTAAAACTTTCACTTGTCCTTCACCTGCAATGCCCTTAAGTGTGAATTTGCTTTGCATTGAATGCACATTGTCATTTTCCCATTGTGTGCTTCATGTATAAACCCTCTCCATTGTCAGCAACTTGCATATCTCTTAACCTTACCCACAGCTAAAGTACTTATTTTCTGTGCCACTCTTTGACTGTACAGGAATTTAGAGATATGCAGATCAGGTGGAAAAGTGGAACTGAGATTCAGGTTCAACCGTGAGTTAAAGAGCGGAGTGATTCCTTGTTTTACAAATTGGTAGCTTAATGACACAGAATGATTTAAGTTTCTGAACTTGTTGCTCTAGCAATTTATCTCTAAGGAATAAGTCTTCACAGCTAGTTTCTTTTACTGTTCTTAGTCATGACAGTGAAGGCGTCAATCTGGTGCACATCATTGTCTGTTATTAAAAGATGGTGCTAAAAATAATTTAATTATTGAAATACTGCTGCTTTCTTCACTGCGGTAAAGGAAGTGTGATATTTTGGTTAGTCATACCTCAGTACAAATACTCCTTGGTTAATCGAAACTGCTCAAAGGTCATTTTGAAGCAACATCCTCAATCAGTTATTAACCAACTTTACTGCAAGGAGGAAAATAAACACAGTGCAGCAATTTATATTATCTCTAAAGCTTCAGTTCTATTTGGGCATCTTGGAGGTAGGCAGGAAGGAAGAGAATAAATACACATGAGTGCGCGCACACACGTACACCCAGACACACGCATGCACGCACACACACCCATCTAGACACACGCACATATACACACACACACACATGCGCAAACACATATACGCACATACACGTGCACACACATACACACACATATATATACACAGACACATACACATGCACACGCATACACACGCGCACACATACATACACACACACACACACACACACACACAGTTGGTGGGTTTAAAGTATGATTTGAGTACTGTAAGATTTGCATACCTCTAATTGCAGAATGTAATCCCGTTATAGAGTTACAGAAATTATATTGTCAAATGTTCAGATTGGAAGTGTAGCTAAAGCAATGTTGACTTTTATCTACAGGTCCAAGAGTGGTTCGTGCAGTTCCTCATCTGGTTCTCACGATTATGTCATGTGGCCCAAATCCGAGATGCCAAAGATTCCTCGTGCTACTATGCACTGGGATGGCAATCAGCTTGAAATGCAAGAGAATGGAAGCACCAGCAGTTTAAACGATATCCATCGGGATGCTGGGAGAGCAGTGAGTGCACTTAAAACTAGAAAGTGGAGGGTGGGGAAATAAAAAAATGGATACAAGTTGGGCCTTTACTTTGATTCAATTTTATCCTTGCTGGTTTCGTAAAGCCATTGCTGTCCAGCATTCTCTAGCCACCAATACAATTAACAAAGGTCCTCCCAGCTGAGAACTGGAAAGTGGATACTTTTGGCAAATGTTGATATCTGGTCTTGTCTCTGATTTTCCTCTGCACATTCTGTCTTTGATGGCCTACATCCTTCTCCAGACATACATGTCATTCAATGAAGTGATTTCAGACTTTTGTTTTAGAATTGGAAACAATTTCTGGTTCATCCCGAAATTTTGTGAAGCTTACTGGCCAAACAGATGTAATTAGTCTGACACAAAAACACAACAGTGTCTAAAGTTCTTCATTCAAAATAGTCTTTTGAATTTTATATTTGTCTCAAAAATTGCTGCCCAATTTTTCACAAACACTCTTGTACTTTGGAACTGGAATAGTAACTTCAGTGTGAGAATGTTTTTACTGATTATAATTATAGATACAGAAGGCCAATTAGCCCATGTAACTTCATGCAGCTAGAGAGTTTTTAATGTTCCCCCTATCAAGCTTCTAGACTTTTTGTCTCCACTGCGGTCCACCTGAAAGTCCATTTCATAAGTAAAGCACGCTTAATGCAAAAGAATCTCTGGACATCATAACTGGTCCTAGTCTAAACCTCTGTGCCTTTTCATGGAACAAAACTGCTTCATAAAATTGTAGAACCAGTACATGATCAGAACTTGGTGTTCCATTTCCTGAACAAACGTCAAATTGCCTGTGAAATGTATTTTGTACTGTTACTATTTAGCAGCAAGCTAGCCATTGTAAAGGGTGAAAGGTCATTTGGTTTGGTGCATGGCCATCTCATTGGCAAGCATCAGATATAAATGGATCTGTAAAGCTGCAAAGACTTGTTACCAAATAATGTTCAGTTACTCTAAATGGTATTTCCCCTTTAAAAGACTTTGATATGGGTAGATATCCTATCTTATTAATAATGTCACTTGCACTTCACACTGGCCCAATTCCAAAGGTATATTAATGGCAACCACTTAAGTAACAAGTGAATGGCTCCAATTCTCTACCCCTGGGAATGAACTTAGAATGTCCAGCTTCTCCTCTTTAGGAATATTAGTACATGTTGTTCAGATCCTGTAAGGGACTTTTAATGTTTAAAATAAATTTGTCATTAACTGAAAGAATGATGCTACAAGATTCCTTAGTTTCATTGAATAACTTTACTGTTTAAGTAAGTACTTAAAGCAGAACAGCAAACTTAACACTAACTTATAATAAATGTGAAGTCATACATTTTGGTAGGAGTAATAGTAAAAAGGATTATTACTTGAATGGTAAAAAGTTGCAGCATGCTGCTATGCAGAGGGACCTGGGTGTCCTTGTGCATGAATCACAGAAGGTAGGTCTGCAGGTACAACAAGTAAGTAGGAAGGCAAATGGAATTTTGCTCTTCATTGCTAAAGGGATTGAGATTAAAAGCAGGAGGTTATGTTGCAGCTGTACAAGGTGCTGGTGAGGCCACACCTGGAGTACTGTGTGCAGTTTTGGTCTCCTTACTTGAGAAAGGAGGTACTGGCACTGGAGGGGGTGCAAAGGAGGTTCACTAGGTTGATTCCGGAGTTGAGGGGGTTGGCTTATGAGGAGAGACTGAGTAGGTTGGGATTATATTCATTGGAATTCAGAAGATTGAGGGGGGATCTTATAGAAACATATAAAATTATGAAGGGAATAGATAAGATAGAAGTAGAGAGGATGTTTCCACTGGCAGGTGAAGCTAGGACAAGAGGGCATAGCCTCAAGATTAGAGGGAGCAGATTTAGGACTGAACTGAGAAGGAATTTCTTCACCCAGAGGGTTGTTAATCTATGGAATTCCTTGCCCAGTGAAGTAGTTGACGCTACTTCAGTAAATGTTTTTTAAAAAAAGGTAGATTTTTTTTGAACAATAAAGGAATTAAGGGATACGGTGAGAATGCGGGTAAGTGGATCTGAGTCCACGAAAGGATCAGCCATGATCTTATTGAATGGCGGAGCAGGCTCGAAGGGCCAGACGGCCTACTCCTACTCCTAGTTCTTATGTTCTTATGTAAGTATACTATGAATCCACTTTTACTTTCCCCTCTCTTTCAAAATCTAGAAGGCTCATTCACTTCTTGAGGGACCAACTCTGTATGCCACAACCAATCACAATCCTGTGGAAGGGTCACTAGACCCGAAGCATTAACTCTTGAGTTCTCTTCTCAGATGCTGCTTGAACTGCTGAGTTTTTACAGCAATTTCTGTTTTTTTATGACAAGTCATAGAGTCATACAGCACAGTAAAGACCCTTCAGCCCATCGAGTCTGCACCAACAATAACTACCGCTAAAGGTGCATTGATCCCAATTTCCTGCACTTGTCCAGTATCCTTGAATGTTATGATATTTCAATTGCCCATCCAAATTTGCTTTTAACTTTGTAAAGTTTTCGGACTCCACTACCTTCGCAGTTAGTGCATTCCAGATTCTCTCCACCCTACGAAAAAGATTTTCTTTCCTCAAATCCCCTCTGATGCTCCTGCCCCTTACCCTAAAACTATGTACCCTTGTGATTGACCCCTCAACCGAGGGGAACAGCTGCTCCCTAGTCATCCTGTCCCCGTATCCCTCATTATCTTATACACCTCAATCATGACCCATTCAGCCTTCTCTGATCTCAAGAAAATAATCTAGCTTATCTAGTCACTCCTTATCGCAAAATTTCTCCATCTCGGGCAAAATTCTGGTGAACCTCCTTCGTACCCCCTCTTAGTGCTATCATATCCTTCCTGTAGTGAGGTGACCAGAACTGCACACAGTAGTCCAGCTGTGGAAAAGCAATGCTGTGTACAATTCCAGCATTATCTCTTTGTTCTTATATACTGTGCTCTTCCACTGATGAAAGTAAGTGTCCCATATGTCATCTTAACTATCCCATTCATGTGTGCTGAAAATAGTAGCTTTCATGGTGACTTTGACCTAGAGCCAGTTCCATAAATGACCAGATTTACTCAGTTCAATTTCACAGTCTGCCTTTGTGCTTTTTCTTTTGGCTTTTCTCGCACCTTTTTTTGCTGTAAATCAACTTCACAGGGTATTGGAAGAGGACATTTTGCAATTATGAAACTGAAACCAAGCATCACATCAAGATCCATTAGAGACTCCTAATTTATTGAAACCTGACTATCAGTGGACTGTGAACTTTCTGATTTCTAGAATCTGCTATTCTTTGGGGGTTTTTTTCGTCTAGAATTCACGTTTGATTTCTCCTTAGTTTCATAGTCAGGCACTTGGAGACTTCTAGAGCTCTTATTCTGCAAGGATTCCACTGCTTTTCACCCAGACTTTGGAAACTCTAAGCCTGCCCTTCCACAATTTCTTTAAAGCACTCTCTGCTTTCTCCTTCAACAAGATCTTTCACTGGAGATTTCTTACTTAGCTCCAAATTAGGCAAATCTTCTGACTTTATTTTCCCCAAACATCAACTCCAAGTGAATAGCAACCTGCACAGATCTGCAGCTTCCTTCTGAGGATACCTGGATAAAAGGTAAAGGTAAAGTCACTGTATCCTAATCAGACCACCAGACTGCTCTCTCTTTAGAGAGACAGACAACTGGTGTGTTTAATCTGAGGTTCATCACACCTTGGGCAAGGGGTAAGTTTGAGGAGAGTCCTTCATGGTAGCTTCTGCCGGTGCAGGAATTGAACCCATGCCATTGGCATCAAAAGCCAGCCTTTCAGCCAATTGAGCTAACCAACCCTTTTACTTTATAGTTGGATAACATTTGAAAAAAGGACTTGTTACCCTCAAATACCATCTCCATGGCAATGTGGCAGGCTTTAGGAAGTTCATGACAGAAATATAAGCTAATTATCTTATCTTCAAGACAACCCCTTGTGACCACTGTGAATAATTTCTATCTTTAATGAGTTTATGATCCTCTTTCTCAGAAGTACTGGTCCCAACAAGAAACTCCCCATTGACCAACTGCCTCTAGCTTCTTCTCATCTGGGGACTGCACAAACAATTTAAATATCTTATTAAGACAAAGTTGGCATTCTGACTCCATTGCTAGCTTTTATCCAAGTTCTCACAACCAACTCTGACAATGCAAGATTAACACAGGTGACCTTTTAATTGTTATTAACTCAGGCTTGTTTCAATTGTATTTCTTTTGGATCGGTTATTAGTTTTTGATTCCATGTCTCCATTCATCTTGCATTTAACACTTTAATGCCTAAAACTGAAAGTTGCTTCTCAAACACATGAACGATGGAATGGAGACAAGTCTGCCACAAAACTGCCTAATGAAAAGACCAAAAGTCTTGGCTTCATTGGGAAATTTGTCATATTTAGTTCCAGAGGGAGCCATTTCAATAATGAAAAGCTTTTTGCAGATGAGCTGAAGAGAGTCATCACAAATTGCTTTGACCTGTGCTGCTGCTGGGAACTCTAATGTAAGGAAAAGTGTGAGAAACTAAGTGCTGAATTTTGAAAAATCTCTTCTCCAATCAGTTGCCTTGGGAGTCAGAAACAATAGGTGGATGTTACAGCATTGGTGAATAATCACAAAATATTGCACAATGTATTACTATTGAGATTTGTTTATTTGAAATCTGTTTACTACTGAGCCATCTTGGGATAGTGGCTGTCTTTTCTTTCCTTCATACTTTCACAATGAAAGCAATTGCTTCTCTCAGTGCCCTTCACGTAAGTGCTTGCTGCTTAATGTTCAAGCATTTATTTCAAGAGTCAAAAATGTAGTAATTTTTCTAAAGTTTTGCTATCCTTTTAACTCTTCCATAACCACAGTCTCAAATCTACTTGCAATTAAAATGTACATTATAATAGTGGAATGGCTGTTTCACACAATGACAGACTTTGTACTGGGTTACAATGACTTCTAACTTCAACTTTTCTGTCAGAATACTTTAAAACTTTTTTTAGACTTCTTTTCAATGTACTCATGAATTTGGCTGTGGTACCATTTGTCAAAAATATTGCACGATGAGGAAATTTGTTGAACATCAGGTGATGCATTTAATGACTAGAATGACCTTACTGTGCATGGCTTGTGCTCAGCAGCTGTGTTCAACACTGTACAAAATGTTTTATTTTACTTTGCTTGTTTCTTAATAATGATACAAGTAAGATTTAGGTTGTTAATTTCCTCTTCGCCACAAAGCATTGTACCGAGACAGTTTTGGGAGTCAGTACAGCACCTGCTCCCACCTCTTCAATTTCTCTTCATGCATACATTGCCTACGTTAACTGGCCAACCTCTTTGCATAAATGATGAACTGTAACTCATTAAAAGCTAGAGTCAAATCTGATTAGTTGCAGGGGTTTCTTGTCCACCCATGCTATCAGCCTGTATCTGGAACAGAAAGGAATATTTTATCAGAACAGGTTTTATTTAGACAGAAATTTCAATCTCGACACAATGAGGAAACATAGTGGAGCCCAGAGCAAAGGGGTATGACTTTAAAATTTAAGAATTTTTCCACCCGGGGGAAACGTCAAGAAGCACTCCTCTACACATAGGGTAGTGGAAGTCTGAAATCCTCTCCCTGAAAAAAAATCTGCTGTGGCCCGAACAATTGAAAATGCAAAACCTGGGATTAATAGACTTCTGGGGATAGTAGGAACTGCCGATGCTGGAGAATCTGAGATAACAAGGTGTAGAGATGGATGAACACAGCAGGCCAAGCCGCATCAGAGGAGCAGGAAGGCTGACGTTTCGGGTCGAGACCCTTCTTCAGAAATGGGGGGGGGAAGGGGATTCTGAAATAAATAGGGAGAGAGGGGGAGGCAGATAGAAGATGGATAAAGGAGAAGATAGGTGGAGAGGAGACAGACAGGTCAAAGAGGCGGGATTGGAGCCAGTAAAGGTGAGTGTATGTGGGGAGGTAAGGAGGGGATAGGTTGGTCCAGGGAAGACGGACAGGTCAAGGAGGCGGGATGAGGTTAGTGGGTAGGAGATGGGGGTGGGGCTTGAGGTGGGAGGAATGGTTAGGGAGGCGGGGATGAGCCGGGCTGGTTTTGGGATGCGGTCGGGGGAGGGGAGATTTTGAAGCTTGTGAAATCCACATTGATACCTTTGGGCTGCAGGGTTCCCAAGCGGAATATGAGATGCTGTCCCTGCAACCTTCGGGTGGCATCATTGTGGCACTGCAGGAGGCCCAGGATGGACATGTCGTCCAAGGAGTGGGAGGGGGAGTTGAAATGGTTCGCGACTGGGAGGTGCAGTTGTTTAGTGCGAACCGAGCGTAAGTGTTCCGCAAAGCGGTCCCTGAGCCTCAGCTTGGTTTCCCCGATGTAGAGGAGGCCACAACGGGAACAGCGGATGCAGTATACCACATTAGCAGATGTGCAGGTGAACATCTGTTTGATGTGGAAGGTCTTCTTGGGGCCTGGGATGGGGGTGAGGGGGGAGGTGTAGGGGCAGGTGTAGCACTTCCTGTGGTTGCAGGGAAAAGTGCCGGGGGTGGTGGGGCTGGAGGGGAGTGTGGAGCGGACAAGGGAGTCCCGGAGAGAGTGGTCCCTCCGGAAAGCAGATTAGGATGGGGAGGGAAAAATGTCTTTGGTGGTGGGGTTGGATTGCAGATGGCAGAAGTGTCGGAGGATGATGCGTTGGATTCGGAGGTTGGTGGGGTGGTACGTGAGGACAAGGGAGATTCTGTTTTGGTTGTTATTGCGGGGAGGGGGTGTGAGGGATGAGTTGCGGGAAATGCGAGAGACATGGTCGAGGGCATTTTCGACCACTGTGGAGGGGAAGTTGCGGTCCTTGGAAAACGAGGACATCTGGGATGTCCGGGAGTGGAATGCCTCATCTCGGAAGCAGATGTGGCGGAGGCGAAGGAATTGGGAATAGGGGATGGCCTTTTTGCAGGAAGGTGGGTGAGAGGAGGTGTATTCTAGGTAGCTGTGGGAGTCGGTGGGCTTGAAATGGATATCGGTTTCCAGGTGGATGCCAGAGATGGAAACACAGAGATCCAGGAAGGAGAGAGAGGTATCAGAGATGGTCCAGGTGAACTTAAGGTTGGGGTGGAAGGTGTTAGTGATGTGAATGAACTGTTTGAGCTCCTCATGGGAGCACGAGGCGGCGCCGATACAGTCATCGATGTAACGGAGGAAGAGGTGGTGGATAGGCCATTGTAGCTTTGGAAGAGGGACTGTTCCACGTATCCTACAAAGAGGCAGGCATAGCTTGGGCCCATGCGGGTACCCATGGCCACCCCCTTTGTCTGTAGGAAGTGGGAGGAATTGAAAGAGAAGTTGTTGAGGGTGAGGATGAGTTCGGCTAAGCGGATGAGGGTGTCAGTGGAGGGGGACTGGTCGGGCCTGCAGGACAGGAAGAAGCGGAGGGCCTTTAGGCCATCTGCAAGGGGAATGCAGGTGTATAGGGACTGGACGTCCATGGTAAAGATGAGGTGTTGGGGACCGGGGAATTGGAAGTTTTGGAGGAGGTGGAGGGCGTGTGTGGTGTCACGGACGTAGGTAGGGAGTTCCTGGACCAAGGGGGAGAAAATGGAGTCGAGATAAGTGGAGATAAGTTCGGTGGGGCAGGAGCAGGCGGAGACAATGGGTCGACCAGGGCAGTCAGGCTTGTGGATTTTGGGAAGGAGATAGAAGCGGGCGGTGCAGGGTTGGGGAACGATGAGGTTAGAGGCTGTGGGTGGGAGATCACCTGAAATTATGAGATTGTGGATGGCTTGGGAGATGATGGTTTAGTGGTCGTGGGTGGGATCATGATCAAGGGGGCGGTAGGAGGAGGTGTCGGAGAGCTGGCCTCTGGCCTCGGCGATGTAGAGGTCAGTGTGCCATACTACAACTGCGCCTCCCTTGTCCGCGGGTTTTATGGTGAGGTTGGGATTGGAGCGGAGGTAGCGGAGGGCTGCACATTCTGTTGGGGAGAGGTTGGAGTGGGTGAGAGGGATGGAGAGGTTGAGGCAATTGATGTCTCGACGGCAGTTAGAGATGAAGAGGTCAAGGGAGGGTAGGAGGCCTTGGGGTGGTGTCCAGGAGGAGGGGGTGTGTTGGAGGCGGGAGAAGGGGTCAGTAGAGGGAGGGTTAGGCTCACAGTTAAAGAAGTAAGCGTGGAGGCGGAGGCGGCGGAAAAGCTGCTCAATGTCCAAACGTGAGTTGTATTCATCGATGTTTGGGTGGAGGGGGACAAAGGTGAGTCCTCTGCTGAGGACTGACCATTCGTCCTCAGTAAGGGGGAGGTCTGGGGGGATGGTGAAGACTCGGCAGGGCTGGGTGCTGCTGTCTCCTCTGGAGCTGCTGGCTGTGGAGGCTGTGGGCGGAGCGACGTCGGCGGTGGGCGGAGCGACGGCCAGTAAGTGTTGGATGTTGGTGGCAGCGGCGTCCTCGATGTCTGTGTTGGCCTCGGAAACGGAGGCGGTGACATCAGCAGCGGTGTCGATGGCGTTGGCTGTACCGGAAGTGGCGTACCGGGCGGAGGCGAATGTGACGTCATCCGTGGGTGCTCCGAAGGTGGCCACATGGCCAATGGCGGCGGGCACGTTGTGGGGAAGGTCCTGGGTAGGGTGGCAGGCACCAGTAAGTTTAAAGTACTTTCGGTTTTTAGTGTCCAATAAAGCCGAGTAGAATTGAGAGTTCAGGTTGTGGATCTTACGAAGAATAAAATACAGGAGAGGTCCTTTGCAGATCTGGGAGAGGGAGGCTCTGAGCTGGGGTAGGCTTAATTGTATTATCTGGAGATGCTGGCGCATTGCAGCGAGTGTGTATTTCAGGAGTCGCAGGGAGAAACACTTCTGTAGGATACCAGTGTTCTGAATGTAGAGGTCGTCACGGTTGGGGCCAAATTGGGAAGGCTTAAATGTAGACTGTAGTCCGTTGGGGATGATCCGGTTCTGTAGACAGGTACTCAGAAAGTTTATTAATAGATTTCTGTTAGTTAACGGCATTGAGGGTTATGGAAGCAAGCGTTAACTGGAATTTAAGATATAGATCAGCCATGATCCAGTTGAGGGACTCAGTGACCTGCTCCTGTTTCTAAAATACATTCCTTCAGAAGATTCTATCTTTCCACTACAAGAAATAATGTCACTCATTCCTCACTCAGCAGCCTGTGCGTTTGCATTAAAAGCAAAAAGGTATCAAAATGTATTTGAACATTATCATAAAGTATGCATTCAGTCAGTACTCCTAACTGAAATTGGTATCTTGTCTGTTTCTATTCCAGCCTGACAAAAATGATGACCTGAAGACCTTTAAAGGGAAGCAACAGTCCCGGTACACCTATCTTTGCCAGGGTCAAGAGAATCCATACTATGTCAGTGATGAGAAAAAGCCTGAATATTTGTAAATGGAACGGGATTGATTTTTAGAGGGTGAAGCAGATATTCTTTCAACTATTGATAATGTTTGTGCTTCTGTGCATGTTGCATAGCAAGCTTAAGGGGTGGGGAAGGGGAAGAAAAAGGTGGAATTTTGTAAATTTTTTAAACCACGTTCTTGGGACATGTATCTGTAGTGAGGCAACTATGAAACAAAAATCTTCAATTTAGTATCTACAAATCAAGAATCGAATTTTCCTGGCCATTAAAATGTCAGACGAGGGACTTACAACTTCCAGCATTAACCTATTGGAACTTCACCTTTGCCTCTCTCTCTCTAACACCATAACAAAACACATTATTCTTCCAAATATAACCATGCAAAGCCAAGGAGAGCACATAGACTTAATGGGGAGGGTGGGAATGGCAGGGTAGCATTGGAGGTAGTGGGGTAGGGTGTGGTAGTAGTAGTTGACTGGTTAGCGCCCAGAGGTTTTTCTTTGTAATGAGGTGTTGAAAATAAATTGTAGGATTTTTCTTCTGTTTTTACCAACTGTTTCAGTACATTATCTCCAAACCATAATACCACATGTAAAGGTCCCTCCTTCACCAGCTAACTGTTACATCGTGCTGAACACAATATTATAGATGGTTGCAGTAGGAGGACGTTGTTCATTGATGGTCAGGAGTCTACAGCTGATTGTTGCATCCAAGAGTTCTTTCTAAATCTAGTATAAAATTAACAAGTTTCAAGTTTGCTTTTCACATCTCAGCATCCCTTTTAGTGGCTGCAAAATTACAGCATTTTAACTTTTATTTGAATGTATTTAAACTGGTTGCTCAGTCACACCACTAAGTGTTCCCTCTTTAGAATGGCATAGTTGTATAATTTCCATTGAGTTCTCATGAATATTCAATGACCAGCTCTTTTATATTGTGCTGCTGTTTTTGTTTGGGCTGGAATACACAAAGGAATGTGGTGGGACTTTCCTTTCAAATTTTAAGAAAAAAAAATCATTTTAAACCTAGCAAAGTAAAGGAAAATTAAAGCAAATCTTCTAATTTATGATTAAAATGTTGGTTAGTGTGTTATAGGAATTGACTATTTGTGACTTGAAATACCAGAAGGAGGAGAGTCTGAAATGGCATGCCGACAACTACCAGCCAACTGAAGAGGACACATTTCCACCTTAAAATGTTTTTTAAAAACATTGCACATTTTACTGATCGAATATGTGGATGTAAATTGTAAATACACTGGGGAGATAGCTATACTCCAAGATGTATATTTAGTCTTGTTTTTGGTTTTAATCTTTTTTGAATTCCTCGGTATTTTTTGATTTTTAGGTTCTTCAATATTTTTCTTCAATGAAGACTTTCCATGTTTGGCAATCTAAGCATAAATAATTTTGCCAAGCAAAAAGTGGTGGTATTAAGCTTTGCAAATAAATTAGACAGTCCTTCTGATTCTTTTTTCCTCAAAAAGACTTTTGTTAAGTTTGATTTTTAATATGCTGAAAAATTATTGTAAACACTAGCTTGTGTTCTGAGAAATGCGAATCATTAATTATTATCCAGTAATAATTAATTTGCCTCGTCCTAAAAGCTACTTTATTTTTGCACTCTGGGTCTTGGACTGACAGGACTAACTCTACTGCTTGCCATGATTAATATTTGTAATGTGTGGTTTCCCCATAAACTGGCTGCACCATAGAAACACTTGTAGATTGACCATGACATTTTGGCTAGCGTGCATGTATGAACTAAATGATCTCATGACCAAGAATAGTGATGTGCGCACACACACTGACTTCATGCTGCATAGTTACTGCTGGGGCAGCAACTTTATGGGCCCACAGAGACTGACTGCAACCAAGCAGATTTTTAAGATTGACCTTACAGGCTGCCAGACTTTCTTTGGTTGATTTAGTTTAATATAGCAACCGGCTGCATAAGGCTTGAGTTACAGTAACTGGTAGCTCAAGACCAGAGTAAAATATTATCTCTGAATAGCTGTTTGGTGGAATTTAGGGTTTTGGGCACTTTTCTATTTCTTTTCTCTCTGACCTTTGTTAAAGGATATTAAACAAATGAGAAGCACTAGTAGCACTTGACTGCTCAATGGTAGGAGATGTTGTGACAAAGTGTTATTGAACAGTGAAGCTCAATAACCTTTTCCAGTTTTCATTCTATAGGAAATAACTCCAAAGATTAGAAAAGTAAAGCACACAAACAATGGTTTGTCCTTGGGAACTTTAGATTCCAAATCCAAATGTTGGCATCTCCTATTGTTGATGAATGGATGTAGACCAAGTTCCTGCAGAGCTTTCCTCAAAACAATGGTTCTTTCCTTACAATATTCAATTTAAGTGTCTTAAATAATTGAATAATGTAAACTTCAAAGCATGTTTGTTGAAATACTTAAGCTTGTGCATGTATAAAATTTTTGTTTCTACGTCAAAATGGAACAGCCTATAAATAAAGATGTGACTATTTTTCCCCTTATATAAATGATATATTTTTGCAATACAAAGAATGACTATCAGAAATGGAAATGAATTTACTGAACTGAAATGTACTCCAGCTTTCACTGCACGAGCAGATTGTATCTAATCTGTTTTGAGTTTTAGTTAGGATTTATGTTTTTCCTTTATGTGGAAGTTAGGTTTTGTCTTGTCTCTCCTTTTCTACTTAGCCTCATTCTGCTTTGCACTTTGCCTTCTGTTCTGCCGATAAACAGACTTTGTATATTATTGTTTGCCAAGGATAAGAACTAACTGCTTCATGAGGTGGGAGTATTCAGTGGGAAATTGGAAGTAGCCAACAACTGAGGCATAGAGCAATTACTAAGGCTACATTAGAGCACAAAATTTTTTTTATGGATGTAGTTATTATGGTTCATGGGGTCTGAATGCTGTATAGATTTCTTTTGACTCCCATTGAAAGACTTGCAACTGTGCTAGGTTGCATTGTTTGAATTTAGTTTTGGGGGGAAAGTGTAGAGGGAAAGGAGAGGACACCATTTAGGCTCTGATCAATATTGAATATTTATAGGTAGGAGACTGGTTTGAGCTTTGTACTATGCTTTCCAATTTGGAGATCACCTCTGCACAAAATAGAACCAAACTTTAAACAAAGAACCCTTCAGAGATGGCGTAGTTTCTACACTAATTTTAAAAACATATGTAAGGGAGACACTTCCATGTACCCAATGAACCTGCTTCATGGCTGTCACTTGTGTCTATGTTCTATTACGTTTCAGTAAATGTGTAATGGAAAATGTACTTCCTCGAGCTTAAATATTTCCATTGCTCAAAAGGAATTTAATTTGCTGCTCTTGCATGGAATAAAAATGGCCAAAGTTGCATTCTCAATTTGGATTGATGGTTTTGCTTGTACCTTTTATTTTGTACATTGTAGTTTTGTGGAACATATAAAAGAATTTCATGCCAAATAGGAGTAAAATTATGAGAATTTCAAGTAACTTTGTTAAAATCACAAGTATTATAATACAGATATGTTTTTCTATTGATCACCATCGTACAACTTAAAAATGTTTAAATTTAAATAAAGAAAAAATCTTTCCAGTTTCTGTCTTACAAAGTTATTTTTTAAACTTTGAGCTTTTGACTCCAGATAAATTCAAGATGAAGAATGAAAATGGTATTGTTTTGTACAAATGGTGCCATCATTGTTTGATGGACCTTCTACCAAAGGGCCAGGTGAGAACATGTTTTTGTCTGCAGGTGCACTGCCAATCGAACATTCAATTAAGATACAGCTAACAACTCTGTAACTAACCAATCTATCCAATAGCCCACACGGATGAGAGAGCTAGTACAAGACTGGTTGGGCAACTGAACTTCCTTGGAGATTGATTTTAAATTTATCTGCTAAAGGATCAATTGTCTTTATTATTCCATGCCTCTAGTATTTAACTTTGAAAGTTGAATGTTCCAAACCCAGGTGTTAGGTGGTTCAACACTGGAAGTGCTTAAGGAGTCAAAACCTGCCATCTGCAAATATTTGTTCATGTAGTAGTGAGGTTCCTCAAGATCAATGTTCAAGTTAGCACCTTACTTATTGTTGTTTCTTGCAGGGACATCAAAAGGTAGTGACAGTGCAATGACGTGACCTTTTTTTGTAGCATTCCCCCCCAACACCTCCCCCGCCCCCTTCCCCACCTCCCCCCACAACTCCCCAACCCACTTGCTGGCTGGCTGTCTTTTGTACTTTATTAAAAAATTGTATGGGATGTGGACAATTGATATCCATCTGTAGTTGCTATTGAATTAATCAACAGTTAAGAACCAATCATATTGAGGTGGGTCTGGACACACATGTAGGCCAGACCAGATAATGAGGGCATTAGGATCCTCATGTTGCAGTGATAGTGTCCCTGCCTGTGGACTGGGAGGCCTAGATTCAAGTCCCATCTGCTCCAGAGGTGTGTAATAACATCTCTGAAAAGGTCGATTGTAAAAATAGGTGAAATAAGATTTTAGTGGAACAGATATGCTTTTACAACAATTGTAAGCCCTTATTCCAGATTTTGTTGAATTCAAATCTCATTAGATGCCATGGTCCTCTCCCTCACCCCTCTTCCTACTTCTCCCTCACCTTTGATGATTTTCATTGCCTTTAATGGGCTTAGCACGGAAATTATTCAATTGGAAACACAGGTGATTTACAGGTGATGGTGAAGAGATGAAAAAAATACTCTGGGTGATTTGACGATGGGGGAGAAACCATTCAGTTGTGTGTAAGGGTACTTCTGGATACAAAAGAAACCATGTCCCCAGACCATGAGCCCAGCATTACTAGTCCGATGACCCCATCACTGTGCACTGCCCTCCCCTTTAAGGGTATTGCGCTTCTTTTATAAAACTCTCTAATTGTCTCCAGTGAATGCATTTGTGGTGTTGGCACCCTACTGTCTGGGCAGTGGGTGATAGTGGTTAGATTGATTTTTCAGCAATAATTATCAGACCATGACCTAAGCAGTGCAGGTACTGCTCCTTAGCGTATACTTTGTACTTCAGTTAATTCATTCAATTAATCATTCGCAGATGGACAAAATCCAAGAGGTGTTTCATTCTTTTGAATTTAACCTGTATATGAGCACTTCCTCTGCAGTAAGAAAAAGCCGAAAACACACTGTGGGCTAAATATTGGTAAGGGAAATAGATTTGCATTCATATGATTTCTAATAGTCCATCACTGCCACCAGGAGGGAGATGGTGGGACTACATCAATTCATCTCAGTCGTTAAAATGACGTGATCGTTGTTGCGATGTTATTTGGGCTTCATAAGTGGATGGATTGCAGAAGTGGAGCAGTCATGCTGAGCCTCTATAAAGCCCTCTTTAGGACCCAACCTTGAGTATAATGCGTAGATCTTATTCCCACATTTTATGAAGGATGCAGCAGAAATTCACCAGATGGTACTAGGAGGAAATGGGGATTTTAGCTATAAAGTTAGATTGGAAAACTTGGATATTGTTCCCCTTATGAAAATGAAGGTTGAGGGGAGATGTGGTAGAAGTATGCAAGGTTATCACCAGTCTAGATAAGGTATACAAAATAACGTTAACACTGCAAAGAGGATGGGACACAGATTTAAGAGTTTGGACAAGGAATGTAGTGGGGTGGGGGTGTGTAGGGAACAGAGTTAATGAAGGATGCTTTATGTAATGAGTGGTAATGAGCTGAAACACTGCTTACAAGAGCAGTGGATGCACAGATAGCCGGAAGCGACTGAAGGATCTGGATACTGCAGAGGCTAAAAATCCTGACCATGTTCTGACAAGAATACTGAAGACTTGTGCTGCAGAACTAGCTGCATTCCTAGCAAAACTGTTCAAGTACACCTCAATACTGGCATATACCCGGAAATGTGGACAATTTCAGAGGTAGGTCCTGTCCGTGAAAAGCAGGACAAATCCAACCTATCCATGCCCTCTCAGTCATTAACAAGGTGATAGAAAGTGTCATCAAGATGCTATCAAGCAGCACTTGCTCAATAATAACCTATTCTCTGACACTCAGAGACCATTCAACCCATCATGTCTGCACCTGTACCTGAAGGAGCTACCCAGCTAGTCTCACTCTCCAGCTCTATCTCCACAGCCTTCTCAGTTCATCACTCTTACATATCTATCCAGCTCTCTTTTGAAAGAGAATCTACACCTACAGAGTCCGTCTCCACCACTCTCCCAGGCAACACATTCCAAATCTGAACAACTCTCTAAGTACGGAAGTTTCTCCTCATCTCACCCCTAGCTGTCTTGCTACAATCTTGAAATTGTATTCCTGAGTTGCTGACGTCAACTAGTGGAAACAGAATGTCATAATTTTGAACATCTCAATAATGTCAACTCTTGTTTTTCTCTGCTCCTAGGAGAATAAGCCCAACCTCTCTAATCTTTCCTCCAATTTAAAAGTCTTCATTCCTGGTAATCATTCTAGTAAATAGTGAATGTTGTTGTTGTTTTGCTGCATTGTCTAAAATTGACAGGGAATACATTCAGTGATGGACTTGAAGCGTTAACTCTGTTTTCTCCCCCTCAGATGCTGCCGGACCTGCTGAGTTTCTCCAGCAATTTCTGTTATGGTCTCTGATTTCCAGCATCTGCAATTCTTTCTTTTATTTTAGTAAGAAGTGTATTTTGACTCCATTTAACCACATTGTTTCTATTAGCCCTTGATAATGAATAATGTTTCAAAGATCCAGCAAAGATAAATGGATCACTGGTGCACTGTTGTGTATGATTCTAAGATCAATAAATAAGTCTCCAATACTTAATATGGTATGTGGTACAGATAGAGGAATTCAGGGTGAGATAAAAATTGTGTAGAATGAAGTCAGAGAGACCAGCAGACAAGAATATTAGAAACCACTCAGTCTGGGAATATTATAGTTGGTATATGCGAAGATCTATTCATAACTGATTTTGCTTTCTTATACAAGGCCTAAGGGACTAAAAGGTTACACTGACTTAATGTTGATCAGGCTGCATCAATTCAATGTTCATATGATCCTAGACTAAGTCTCTCTGTGTCTCTCTGATTGCTCATGAGTTATTGAGTAAGTTCTGATGTGATTGTTGCCAGTTAAAATGAAAACAGCAATTTGCAGGAGGTATCTGGTATTCCATTTGATCAGATCCACTGGGCATTTTGTATTTTCCTAAAGGCTTGTCTTTACTTTGCTCAAGTCTTCACTGACCAATTAGCCATGTAACTGAAAAATCAATTGTGAGCACAAGAAAGGTATTTATCTTACTTTCAGGCCATGTGAACCTGAATACTTTAAAAAATAGCTTGTTCTCCTGGCTGCCTGGGTTCAAGTATATAGTGTATCTCAGTTTAGAGTAGGTTCAGTAGAAGGCCATTCAACCCATCATATCTGTATGACCTATTCATTTTGATGCTGCATCCCAGATTTATTCTCTTGATCCTTTTGAAGTACACATTGTTTTGAAAGTCCACTGGAATTTGCTTCCACCAACTGTTCAGATATGTTCCAGATTTTAGCAGCCACCTGTGTGAAAGCATTTCTCTTCCAGTTCTTTTGCTGATTATTTTAAATTTTGACTCGGTTGGCTAGATGTCTACAGCGTGATGCAGAAGAATGCCAATGATGTGGGTTCAACTCTGTACTGGCTGTGGTGGATCATGAAAGATCTGCCTCCTTGTCTTGCCTCCCCTACCTTTTGGATTGGTGCTTCTCAAGCCACACAAAACCAATCATCTCTCTAATGGATAGAGATACAGACTGTGGCTAAATATCTTTTAATTACCTCTGACTTCGTGTTGTCAAAACATTTGCCAGGAAATTAGTTTTTCCTTATCTTCATAAAAACCCTGCAATTTTAAATATCTCTCCTAACCTTCTCTGAGAAGATCAATCACAGTTTCTCCATTGTTTCCAAATATCTAAAGACCCATATCTCTGATATAATCCCAGTGGAGTTTCTCTTGTGCAATTTCAAGCCCTTGACTTCCTTCTTAAAGTATAATAGCCAGCACTCCACTTAATAATTCAACTGAGACTCAGTTTTTATTAATATTTGGCATGAATTCATTATTTTTGAAATTAATGTATCTATTTACAAAGCCAGTGCATTTCCTTCAATGTCTTATCACATTGCCATAGCACCTTTGAAGGTTTGTGAATATTAATCCCTGGGTTCTTCTGTTCTGACGCCACTTCAAAACTGTACCATTTAGATTCTGTGGCTTCTGCCACATCATTCCTCCCAGAGTGCCTCACTTTACACTTATCCACGGTTGGTGGAAGCAAATTCCAGTGGACTTTCAAAACAATGTGTACTTCAAAAAGTCAAGAGAATAAATCTGGGATGCAGCATTAAAATGAAGATCTCACACAGATATGATGGGCTGAATGGCCTCGTACTGAACTGTGACATCATTTAACATCACCAGCCCAAGCCTATGTAAGTCCCCCTTTATCCTCCTCACTATTTATTGTTACCAAGTTTTGTACCATTCACAAATTTTGAAATGGTTTCCAAAATCCAATTTACATGCAACAAGAAAACCAATGACTCCAATAACAAACCCG